GAATGAGGAGGGTGAGAGGCACTGGCAGGGCTGGGGGGCAGTGGCTTGGCTGTAAAGCATGATAATGTTTTCTGTGTGATTGTTGTATACTGTGCCTCCTGTAGGACTGGAGACGACCATTTCCCACCCCCCCTCAGACCATTACCTTAAGATTCCTCAACAGAAACTGTAAAACCAGTTGAGTAACTCTGGCCAAATCTAGGAGTGCTGACCCTATTTACATTTTCACTGGCATCCTGCCACATTTTTAGCTTCTTTCATTTCTTGGAGTCTCAGAACAATAAGACTCCTGATGCCTGAAGAAGGGTGACTGAACTTGAAAGCTTGACAAGAACTTTTTTCCAACTACTCATTTGGTCTAATAAAAGATATCACATCTACTCAAAGAACTTTGCCTGCCTATGTCCGTAGACCAACACGGCTACAACCAAAAACCCAGACTCTCTTTGAATTGCTTTGACTGCATTAACTGTGCTCCAATGAAGCTGCTTTTTGGCTGGGGCCCTGGGGCCCTGGATGAGGACACTAGCAGGGCTGGGGGTAGAGGCTGTGGGTTGGGATTGAAGGGCAGTGGCAGTGCTGGTGGGCAGGGGCTGCGGGTTGGAAGTGAGAGGCACCCCAAAGCATGAGAAATCAGTGACCATGATTTTTTTGATTGAGCAATTTTATTATTATTTTTTATTTATATACAGAGTCAGACATGGTTTCTTCATGTTATGCTGCAGAGTCCAAGGACCTCGGGTCTGCTTTTTGCAGGGAGACTTGGAATCTGACAGTACATTGTCCTATCAGCATTTCACAGTAACCCTATTTGCATATGAATTCCAGTTTCCCGGCAGTTCAGGTTACAGCTCTCATCAGTCTGTGCCCTGAGGCAGAACTCCAAACCTGGCTTTCCAAGAGTTTGAACAGACACCAGCCCAGTTCAATAAACCATATCATTTCCTATAGATGTGACTGTTCTAGGGCCAGCAATATTATTGTTTTCTTATTGCTTGCCATGATAGGAATAGAGGAAGCCATGCCCTAGCAAGCAGTCCAGAGACAAATCCCCATTCTTGCATTACCTTCCAGTATGCCAAAGGCCTATTCCCAGAGCTACCCAACCCATACCACATGAACCCAATGCTACATGTTAGGGTTCTCTTCAAGAATTGGCAAAAGCCTGCTTAGCTGTGACTTGCACTTGGCAAACCATGCACTTTATTTGATCTGCTCATCAGTCCCCACTCCCCACATTTCTGAGGTCCTAGGAACATTTCACTTGCAAAATTCCCTGCTAGTACCCCCTCCACCTGGGCCTGGGGCCATGGGGGACCCCCTGATTGCAGTGAGTGTCCTGCTCTCACCACCCACTGTTTTGTGGCACCCCAGGCCACATGCTAGAGTTTGCTCCTTGAATTTCAAACTGCCTACCTCTACTGAAGGTCAATGAACATCTGCACCACACAGCCCCTCCCCACCTCCACTGCCCATGGTGGTGTGGGGCAGGGAATCCTGCCTGGCAGTGACTGGCCATCTCACCATTCACTGTTTTGGGGTGGCCAACACCAAGGCTACAAGCTATGGTTCCTGAGGCTGCAGTTTGTACCTTTAAGTCCCAGGTCCTTATTCCTGATTCCCAGTTCCTTTTTCAAAGCTAATCTACACCCAATAAAAGTTTCTTATTAATGAATTACACATTCTATAGAGAAAGAATTTCATTAGCTATGCATATTTACCAAATAATATGTAAATTAATATCCTGCATCCACCATGACTGTGTACCACCAGAGGACTCTCCTGGATACCTCTGAACAGAGTCTTGCGCAGCCCAAAGCATGGCCTGATTGACAGCACCCCCCATGTACACTGCAATAAGTATATGGGCTCAAATAAATAATTATTTTGGGCTGGGGTTAGAGATGGAAATCCTTCTTAGGTCCCCCATAGCATGACTCTGTGCCACTGGGAGATTCTCTCAGACATCTTTGTCAAGAGTCTTGCCTGGCCCAAAGTACTGTTTGTTCATGCCAGGCTGCCAACTCACAGCCCCCCATGCACACTATACTAAGTATATGGGCTTGAATAAGGAACTGGTTTTTGGGCTAGGATGACAGCTGGAAATCCTTCCTGGGCAAGCCCACATGCTCAGGGGTGTCCAGGAGAGTCCCCAGTGCCAGAGACATGATGTGGGGTGGCCCTAGCTCTAGGGTGTCATGGCCATATAGCAGTGCATGGGGAGGGCAGAGATGCACCCAGCTCTGGGGTGTAAATACTACATATATCAGTGTATGAGGAGGGCTGAGAGACACCCCAGAGCTGGGTGCAACAGCCACATATAATGTTTCATCACAGCCATCACCATACACTGTTATACATGGCCATTACATTCCAGAGCTGGGCGCACCTGGGTCAGCCCTGGGTCAACGCAGTTTTGTCTGGAGAGATGAGGGGACAGTATCATGGTCTGCTATTGTGGTTGGTGTCAGGGGGAGCTGTTCTGGCAATGAGGGACCTGCTTGGGTGACCAGTGGGGTCACCCTAAAACCAGCACCCCAGCAAAGCTGACAGACAAGGCATAAAGCCCCTGATGCATACCCCCATTAGAAAGCCTGATGGGCTGTGTGGTGCCAAAGGTTGGCAAAGGGTGTGGGGGAGCACTGGCATGGGCAGTTTTCCTGTCACCGAGAAATGTTGGTGAATCCATTAATCCCCAAAGTCTGTAAGGGAGCAAGAGTGCCTATAGTTTGGATAGAACCCCGTTTTTGGACTTTAAAATAATTGCTGTCAAAAGGGGGGGGGGGGGGGGAACTGGAGAAAGACCAGGCTTGGCAATGGTTTGGTGGCCATCCAGGGTAGGGTGTGTGGCAGGCCAGTAGGGGGTGCTCCTGCACTATGCCACCCACCTCACTGCACCCAATCACCTTCTAGGCTCCAGTGCCTCCCTGGGGGTGCCTCACATCTGGCCAACCCCCTTCCTGTAGCACACCCACTAGCCTGGGGGTACAGCTATCACCACCCAGGGATGGGCTTGATTCTGGCATGATGTCCCCTGGGGAACACAGGCCTACTAGTAGCCCTCAAAGGTACTTGACTCACTTCAAGAACTTGGGGTACTTCCCTCAGTTGGAAGCACAAGTAGTGGTCTCCCTTAGTCAGCCGAACCAAGGGGACCCCAACGCATAATCTAGACCCACTCCCAATAAGTCTCCCTTGCTAGGTACAAAGGAAAACTTTATTAGTTACAAGGAGTAGGGTTGGAATAGGGTACAGAGTTGAGTAGTATCAGAGAAATCCCATAGAGCAAACAGGGTGGCTGGACTAGCTTTTGACCACACATCTGAGTTACTACAAGCTATATATCTAGTTAGATCACAGGTAGCTTACTCACAAGTATCATCCAGAGGCAGGTGGAGATTCCCTCTGGAGGCAGGCAGTTCCTTGATCATGAGTTTTGAGAGAGAAAACAAGTTTCAGATGGTCCAGCTCATCTGTCTCTCTGAGTTTTCCTCATGGCTGCTGCCCCTTCCTCCTGGGCAGGCCTTAATTTATATAGCCCTTATGACCTCATTTACCTGGTCCAATGGAGGCTAGCACTTGTTGGCTGTCAGCCAACCAATTTGAAATGCATCACTGGTTGCTGGGCAGACTGGCAGTTCCAAGCTTCCCAGGGAGCCCAAGTCCCTCACCCAGGTATGTGATGCCAGTCACGTAGGCAGAGGGAGCAAGTTTCCCCCCTCCCTCAGGAATGTGTCCAGCTCAGGTTACCTAAAGAGATCGGGTAAGGTGTGTACTCTCTGCAGGGCCCATCCTAACCAAATTGTCACAGAGCAGAGTTTTTGGGGAGAAACAGAGGTGGCCTTCTGCCACAGGGTGCACCCCCAACTTCCTGTCCATGCCACTTCAGGACTGTCCCAAAGAACCCTGACCACAGTCCCGCTCAGCCCAAAGAGCAGTTTGTGTGTGCCAGGCCGCAAACTGCCAGCTCCCCCATGCCCACTGTACTAAGTATATGGGCTCAAATAAGGAACTGGTTTTGGGCTGGGATTATGGCTAGAAATCCTTGGAACACCCCACACCATGCCTCTGTGGCACTGCAGGACTCTTCTGGACATCTCTGACCAGAGACTGGTATGGCCCAAAGCCTGATTTGTTCATGGAAGGCTGCCAACTGACAGCCTCCCCATGCCCGCTGTACTAAGAATATGAGCTCAAATAAGGACCTGGCTTTTGGGCTGAGATTACAGATTGAAACCCTTTCTAGGCCATCTGACACCATGACTGTGTGCCACCGAGGGATTATCCTGAGCATTCCTGTTTAGAGTCTTGCCTGGTCCAAAACACAGCTTGGCCATGCCAGGCTGCCAACTGACAGCACCCCAGCCACCATGCTAAGTATATGGACCCAAATAAGGAACTGGATTTGAGGCTGGGAGTATGGCTAGAAATCATTCTTGGGCCACTACACGGCATACCTCTGTGGCACTGGGCAACTCTCTTGGACATCTTTGGCCAGAATCTTGCCCAGCCCAAGGTGCGATTTGTGCATGCCAGGCTGCCACCTGACAGTCCCCCCATGCCCACTGTACTAAGTATACGGGCTAAAATAAGGAATTTCTATTGGGCTGGGATTAGAGGTAGAAATCTTTCTTGGACCACCCCATGCCATGCCTCTGTGGTTTTTCTGGTTTTCCTGAACCTGGGCTGTTTTTTGGGCTGGGATTACAGCTGGAAATTCTCCCTGGTCCAGCTCATATGCTCAGTGGTGCCCAAGAGAGTCCCCCAGTGCAGCATGACATGGTGTAGCCCTAGTTCAGGGATTTAATAGCCACATATAACTGTGCATGGGGAGGGCTGAGATACAACCCATAGCTGGGTGCAGTGGCCACATACAACAGTTTAGCACAGCCCACACCATACACTGCCAGGGCCCTTCACTCCTGATCTGCAGCCCCCTACCCTCCCAGGAGCGGCGTGCAGTGGGTCCCAGAGAGATCAAAGCAGGCAGGCAGGCAGACAGCATCTCGGGTTCTTTCCAACTCTGGCATGAAGCTGGGCATCTCGGTGTGCAGACGGCACATGGAGGATCCTGGAGGCACTAGAGCCTGGAGTTACAGCTAAGACCACAAGTATTGATAGCTCAGTGGTACAGCTGTTGCCTGCCATGTGGGAGACCTGGGTTTGATTTCTGGCCAGAGCACCAGTGGGTTGAGCTTTGTGGGGCTGGTGGACCTGGTCACAGTGCAGCCCTGAGTCTCCTGGCTCTGTGCTCTGAGCACCTCTGCCAGCACCATGGAGCTGAGTCTGGTGGTGGGAGTTGAGGGAGAGCCACTGGCTAGGGCTGCACTTAGAGCCAGGGCTGTTCTCTGACGGACTCAGCCACTGGCTCTTCCTCCATGCCCTGTGATGAGGGCTGAGCTCCATGTGGCTGGGGGAGCCACTCAGAGCGCTAGCCCTGATGATGGCAGCCCAGGGACTGGAGGTCCTGCAGCCCCATGGAGCTGAGCCTGGGGGTGGGAGGCAGCAGGGAGTCAGTGCCAGAGCCACTATAAGCACAGCCATGGCCAGTGGTTTCCACCACCAGACTCAGCCTTCTGGGGCTGCAGAACCTTCAGCTGCTGGGCTGTGCTCGCCAGGGCTGCACTCTAAGCGGCTCTGTCAGCCCCATGGAGTTCAGCCCAGGGGCAGAGCTGCTTGGAGCGTAGCCCTGGCGAGTGGCTCTCCCCCATCTCCTGCCACTGGTCTTAGCTCTGTGGGACTGGCAGAGCCATTTGGAGTGGAGCCTGGTGGCAGGAGGTGAGGGAGAGCCAGGACTGCATTCTGAGCAGCTCCACCAGCCCCATGGAGCTCAGCCCGACAGTGGGAGGTGGCAGGAGTGCCAGTGGCAGAGCTGCTTCAAGTGCGGGGGGCAGTGGCAGAGCCAGTGGCAGAGCTGCTCCAAGCACAGCTCTGGCCATTGGCTCTCCCCTACCTCCCACCACCAGGTTCAGCTCTGTGAGGCTGGTGGAGTTGCTTAGAGTGCAGCCCCATGGGGGAGGTGGGGGAGAGCCAGGGCTGTGCTCCATGTGGCTCCACCAGCCCTACAGAGCTCAGCCCAGCAGTGGGAGGTGGCAAGAAAGCCAGTGGCAGAGCCACTCTGAGCATAACCCTGGCTCCAAGCTCAGCCCTGGCCAGTGGCTTTCCCCCACCTCCCACTGCCAGGCTCAGCTCCGTGGGGCTGTGGAGCCTCCAACCACCAGGCTGTGCTCCCCAGGGCTGTGCTTGGAGCCAGGGCTGTGCTCCAAGTGGCTCCATCAGCCTCATGGAGCTCAGCCCAGTGGCAGGAGGTGGCAGGAGAGCCAGTGGCAGAGCCGCTTCGAGCGCAGCCCTGACAAGCACAGCCCAGTGGCAAGTGGCTCTGCAGCCCCATGGAGCTGAGGCTGATGCTGAGAGGTTGGGGAAAGCCACTGGCCAGGGCTGCACTTGAAACCAGGGTTGCACTTGTAGTAGCTCTGCTACTGGTTCTTCCACCACCTCCCACTGCCAGGCTGATCTCTGCGGGGCTGGCGCAGCTGCATGGAGTGCAGCCCTGGTTCTCCCCAGCCTCCCCCACTGGGCTGCACTCTGAGTGACACTGCCAGCCTCCTGGAGCTGAGCCCAGTGGTGGGAGGCGGGGGAAGAGTCAATGGCCAGGGCTGTGCTCAGAGCCACTTGGATTACAGCCTTGGCTCTCCCCCGCCTCCCAGGCTGCTTTGAAACTTGAAACATTTCAAAACTTTTGAGACATTTTGAGCACTCTCATTTCATTCTGAAGCTGTTTCAAAGCCTTTTGTTTTGTTTCAATTTCACTGTTTTGAGCTCAAAATGTGTCAAAACAGCTTCGAAACATAACACTCATTGAAGTTTTGCACAGCCCTAATAGCCACATGTGCAGGCTCTGGTGCCATCTCTGTCTGAGCCCAGGCTACGTAGCCAACGTGGGTGAGGCACAGAGGTGTCCTAACTATAAACTGGTCTGTCAGTCTTAAAGAGCGCTTAGAGAGGCATGTGGCTTTGGCTTCTGAAATAAAGATCAACTGTGTGAATTGATCACTTTTATATTTCATCTTGCATTTCCTTTTACTTTGTCATTGAATACGTTCTTTTTGAGACAAAGTTTTGTTTGATACTGGGTTCGTAATGGGCTCTCGGGGAAGTCTCTGTTGTGAAGAGGGCATGTTGCATGTAGGATGAAGAGTATGGGGTGTGGTATTTGGGGGGCATGGGTGAAGGGTCTGGGTTGTTTCTGGTTGGCATGCAATGTGAGAAGAAATGCGGGAGGAAAATCTGTGGAGGGATATGACTGCAGGTGATGATCTGCCAATGCAGCAGGGAAATGATTGACATGCAAATAGACTATCTGATAAGAAAATTCCTCTCATTGAGCCTGAGCTGTTTCTTTCTTCACCTCAACCACACCATCCCCCTGCAGTGCGGGGTTGGGGTGTTAGCTCATGATGGCCACAGTGCTTGCCAGGGGGAGGGGGATTTGGAGTAGGCTGATCATGGTCCCCCTAACACCACTTTGGGGGCAGCTGTCCTGTGCAAGGGGATCCCTGGTACCCAAGGAATCTTAATCAACCTTGATAACAACTCCAGCCCATCCCCACCCACGCTGGTTCTCAGCTTTGTAAAAAGTCCTGCTTTTTCATGTGATAGAAATGAGAGAAGGCACAGGATTCTTTTTGTTTTACATAAAAATTCCTGTAGCTTCCATTCAGGCTTTAGTAAAACCATGAGTGAGTTACATTTATATAAGTCCAGGTATAGACATTTTTAAACATTTTTTACATAACATTTTTACATAAACCATTTTAATGTTGAAACACACAGTGTAGAAATACATGCAGTTCCTGAATTGGGTATTTTCTTCCAAAGGCACACTGGCAAGCTGCAATGTTTGCTAACACTGACAATAAGCAGGGAGGCCGCACCAACTTTGTTCTAGAGTGCCATGTGCATAACTGTAAAGCTTATAGTTAATCAAAACTAACATGGACCACTTACAAAACTTTAAGTAGAGCAACAAAGGTTATCTTCCTGTTTTTATGAAGTTTTGATTTACCTGAGGAAAGCCCTTCTTGCAGTGCAGTTTTTCCTGGATGGTAAAGAAACATGAAGGCAGGCAGTTTTTGAAGCCCTCAGGTGTGAAGACTAACCTTTCCTATTTTAATATTTGGCACATTAACAAGTTCACACTGAGTCCCTCAACAAGGGAAGCTTGCCTGCCACCCCAGGTGGTAAAACACACCTCAGGTAAAACCTCAGGTAACAAGCCCAGGCCCACCCACTAGGAATTTGTGTGTGTGTGTGTATGTAAGATTTTTTCATTATTTGATTATTTTATGTTTTAATTATTAGATTGATTACTTAAACAACCATGCAGGAGCAGGCACCAGGGAGGGA